TAAAGCTTGACGGGGTAGAAAGCCTCATCTTTCTCCCATGAAGTGGCTGGGAGTTTCGAACTGCTGACCTTAAGGTTCACAGCCCGATTTTGTAACCACTACGCTATATAAACTTGAATCCTGATTTCTCTGGTTGGCACAAAGAGCCTAAAACATTCCTATGTGCAGCTCTTTGTAGTCAAGTGTTTACCCCAACTGCTATCAACCACTCATCTAGTTTGTATAAGATACTCTGCCTTTTGTTCAGTCCTGTCACGTCAGTTCCACCTCATAGTAACCTGACGTACAACTCAACGGAACTCTGGCTCTGTGTCCTCCTCACAGTCGCTATATTTGAGTGGATTGATGCTGCCATTCTATCAATGCATCTTACTAGAGGTCGTCTTCTTTTTTTCAGTGATCCTCTACTTTACCAAGAATGGTGTCCTTTTCCAAGGAATGGTCTCTCCTGATAACGTGTCCAGAGGACATGGGACAAAGTCTCCCCATTCTCGTTTCTAAAGAGCATTCTGGCAAACGCGCCTCTAAAACAAGATGTTTGTTCTGGCAACACATGGTCTCTTCGTCCACACTTTAATTCAAAGGCATCAACTCTTATGCCTTTCTAACTCATTCCACGTACATGAAGTGACTGAAAATACCAGGTGCACTTTAGCCCTTAATGTGACCTCTGTGCTTTCTAAGTTTAAAAAGGGGTCTTTGAAGCAGATTTACCCAGTTAAGTCATTTGATTTCTTGACTGTTGCTTCCATGGGCATTGCTTGTGAATCCAAGTGAAATCCTTGACAACTTTAATCTTTCTGTTTATCAAGATATTGTTTATTGGTCCATTTGTCAATTATTTTTCATGTTGAGGAGTCATCCATATTGAAGTTTGTAGTATTTGAATTTCATCAGTTTCAAGTCCTCGTTTAGCAAGCAAAACTGTGTCATCTGCATATATTAGGTTAATGACCCTTCCTCAAATACCTGTCATAGCATTCTTTTAGAATCCTATGATTGGAAGCACAGAATACGGAGCCTTTTGGTTCTAGCTTTTATGTAGCAATATGCATTTCAGATTCATCTATATTGTTGTGTGAATTAAACGTTCATTTCTTTTTATAACCAAGTAGTACTTCCTGGTGTGGCTCTGTAGGATCAGTACTGGACTGGGAACCACAAGGTTGGCAGTTCAAACCCACCAGCTGCTCCTCAGAAACTCTATACAGGGTTGCTGAGTTGGAGTCGACTCGATGGCATGTAACAAGTACTTTATGGATACACCACTTTACTCATTCCTTGACTGAAGGACACAGGAGTTGTTTACAGTTTGGCTATTGGTAAAATACCTGAGTAGGACCGCCGATATGTATGTTTCACGTTTTTCATTTTTAAGGTCAGAGGCATATATTATCTGTTTATTTTTGTGTAGGAGCATCCAGTTTTCTAACTCCATTTGAAGGGTGTCCTCTCTCCATTGAAATGCTTCTCTTGTCCAAATTCAGTTGACTCTGTGTGAATCTATTTCTAGATGTTCTGTTCCTGTCCATTCAGTTGAACTATGTGACTGTCCTTTTACCAATACCATAATGTTGACTGCTGAGACTTTGTAAGTTTCTAAATGATGTAATTTGAATCCTCCAAGTTTATTCTTCATAGAATTATTTTGAGTACTTCATTCAGTTCCTTTTCTTTTCCTATATATTTTAGAATCAGCTTATCAACTGCTACCAAAAAA